CAGGAAGCTTGTTAATGAAAATTAAAAAACAAAGTAGGACCAAGGATAGGGCCCTGGGGGATACCTGCTTTATACAAAAGGATCTAGATGAGTGGCCATTAAGGATAACTTTCATCTCACAATTTGATAAGAAAGACTGAATCGGTTCAAAAATGCATCCAGAGACACCAACTTTACAACTTGTGAAGAAGACCTGTATGCCAAACCCTGTTAAATTCTTTCAAGATGTTTGAAGCAACAGCCTGCACTTCACCATTCTTATCTAAAACTTCTAACACTTTCTGCAATAATTGTTAATACATCAGCAGTTGTGCAAGAGAAAGGAAAGCCATATTGCTTGTCTGTAAGAAGGCCCTGCTTTGTGAGATGCTGAACTAATTCAGCATTGATTAGGGCCTCTAGTAGTTTGCCAAAAGGAAATAGAAATCTAATAGAATGATAGTTTAAAGGGTCGGACAGTTTACTTAAGTTCATAAAGACTCGAACAACAGATAAGGATTTCCAACAAGCAATAAAACAAGAAGCAGTGAGGCATTTATTATACAGTTTATAGAGAACAGGAGTCAGTTTGGGAGCGTGTTTCTTAAGGACTATTACAGGGATACTGTCAGTTCCACATACTTTGTGGGGATCCAGATTAGAGATGATAGCAGAAATCAAGGAAGAGGTTATATACATACCACTCAACAGAGACTCAGTTCTAAGTAGAAAGTTAGGCAAGGGTTCTCTGGATTAGTCAAGAGTAGAGTTTAAAGAGAATTTATGGACGAAACATTATTAGCAGATGTTAACACCTCAAATTGATTGAAGATAGGAAGAATAGAAAACTCACTCTTATTTAATACACTATAACAGAGCTGCCAGTAATTGCAAGAGCCAAAGTTGTTAGATGCAATATGGTGTTTTGTTCTCTCAGTAAACAAAGACTGAGCCCCTTCAAGGACACGTTTACATTTATACATGCAGCCATGAATAAGTGTCTGTTGTGATCAGAACTGTCATGCTGGTATAGCCGGAAATATTGATTCCTGTGGGTTATAGCAGTTGAACATGCTGACGTGAACTATGAAGAATGAGGTTACATCTAGTATTTCTTAGAATATTTCTTAGAAGGAATAAAAGCATTTAATCTGCCTTGACCCAAGAAGAAACCTCACTGGCTGAAAATCATTATCTAAATCAGGCATGGGCAAACTTTTCTGACCAGTGGGTCACATGAGATATGGCTCAGCATAAAGTGGGCCACACTAACAAAAAATAATTCAAAGTAATTTTTCATTGAAAGTAAAGTGGCCATTTTCATTACAGAATATCGTATGCATTAGCATCTGTCTTAGAAATGAGGAAAAGATTGATATTTTTTATTTGAAAAAAAAGATTTTTTTCTACAATTTTAAAAATTGAAGATTTCATATAATATCACTGATGACAACAGTGATTCACACATGTTGGTGGGTGTGATTTGTTTCTAATTTATTCATTTGAAAATATAAAAAAGCTTTTTAAAAGAAAAAAAATATTTCTTCTCCATTTCTAAAACAAACTATTTTTACACGTATGATTTTCCTTAATGAAAATTGCCCATGGTTTAAAATGCTGAGAACATTACCTTCAAGAAGAGGTTACAAAATTCAAGAAACATCATACTTATAATTGTTATACATGTAGTTTAGTTGATTGGGCCCACAATGCAACAGGCATTAATAATTAAGAGTGGTTACTCAAATATTTAATAGTTATCTCCCTTTGATATCTGCCCCCCTCTCAACCTCTTTACATGAGAGAGAATGAAAGAAAACACAAAATTTTAATAAACATTATTTTCCTCATTGAATTAGGTGTGCCATTCAGGGCCACAGGTTGCAGTTTGCCCATGATTTATATAGACTTCTATTCATATGCTTTTGAGGCTGCTGAATACATTTATTGTACTGAAAATAACCACAAAAAGTCTAAATGGGCTAAATGCTAAATTTAAGCACTTCTCAAGAATTTTAGCTCTTCAACAGGCCAGAGTTTTTAGACTGAAAACCTTCATTTTTAAAAAATTAGAAATGTGAAAATTTCATCTTAATAATTCAGGGCTCTTAAAAACTACAAATTTCTTTTTGGCTCTATTGTGAGAGCCCACTGTATGATGTACTCTTTGGCCTTCCTTGATGTTTAGTACATTTGGTTACATTTTTCAGTTTTCTACAAAATTTATTATTTCACTAGAAGGAAATACTCCTTATTTCACTCTGGCAGAGATCTCCTTATTTCATAGGGAGAGGAGGTGTAACACCCCTTATGGAACAGCACCCCTTATTTCACTCAGGGCAGAGAGGTACTCTTTATTTCACTTTCACTCAGGGTACTCCTTATTTCACTCAGGGTGGAGGGAATACCTCTATTTTACAGTGGATGAATACTCCTTAGTTCACTCAGTGGGGAATGCCCCTTATTTCCTTTAACAGGATCAAACTGGGGGTTACTCCTTATTTCACACAGATTGGGGGCCTACTACTTATTTCACTCGGGAGGAATACACTTTCACTCAGGAAATATGCTGTTCTTATTTCATTATTATATCAGAATTTTTGTGGAAAACTGAATTCTCATCTTAAGAATCTTTTTCTAATGATTTCTTCTTTTTTTTTTCTTAAAAGACTGCATCAATTTTTATACAGATTGTTTCTGTTGGGACTTGTATTTACATACTCTATTCCCTCATTGTTAGGATGCATCTGCAAACTGATATACCAGATTGATGATATTTTTCATGAAACTGAATTTGCCATCCAGAGATTGGAGAATTAAAAAATAATGAAATAATTTAAAAATCTACACAACTTTGAACTAAAAGAGGCTCATACTCTTTCCTTGTTTATTGAACAGGAGTAGAGGTTTCTCCCTTCTTTTCTGTTTATGATGTGATTTACTGGTTACATTCTTCTATCATTCTAGTGATATAAATGTCTTAAGTTTTTGGTGATCTGACTGATCAGTAGCTGTGACTTTTCATTTTGAGGGTATCAGGTTGGCAGTTTTCTGGTTGCTGTATCCTAACTGGTAGTAAGGAACCAGAACTCTTTGGTAGTGCTTAGAGAGGCTATGAATTTAAGCACAGTACTAAATCACTATCTAGGTCTCATCATTTTACAGCATAAATGGCTAGATGTAACTAGAAGTTCAATGCTAACACTTTCTTCTCTTGAATTTCTCACTTCCTGTTCTTTTTTTGTTCCCTCATCTTAATAATGTTTTTCTTTTTCTCATATTCTTTCAAACTCGGTAACAACTCACATCTTAGTGACTTTATTGCCTTGCTTTGGAGTGAAATGATAAAAAAAAACACAGAATAAAACTACTTTTGGTATTTAAAGTGGAGATTATAGAAAAAGTATACTAAGGAAAATAAAAAACCTCAAAGATGTAAATGATAATGCTCGGTTAAACGTCTATTGTAGATGGTAAGACCATCGAGAAAGAGTTGTGTGTACCTTGGAAAGAAGATTGCAAGAAATGGTGCCTGACTTCTGGAGTTCAAAGGAAAGATTTTGCTTGGCTGGGCAGCTTTTTTAAAAATTTAAAGCATTATGAGAAGTCCCAAGTCAACAATCAAACTCTCAATACCACCACTGTAAAGACACTTGCATTGGTGGAGTGAATCATGCTTGGCATCACCTAATGCAACAGAAAGAGCAACACCTGGATTTAACAGGAGACTAAAACATGAAGGATATAATTGAGACTGTCAAGAAGGGCAAACCTAGATGGCCTGGCCAGGTATCTTGTCTCAGGGACAACAGGTAGACTATTAGTGTAACAGGGTGGACACTAAGGCAGTAGAAAAGAACAAGGTGATGGCCAAAGGCAAGATGGCATAACAGTCTGACCTAATACCTCTGGCTCACATGGCCAGACATAGGAAGTGGTAGAGTTTAATCAGGGTGGGATTCCTCCAACAGGAGTGAGAAAGATTTGAATTTTGAAATCATTTTATTTCCAATTCTTGCTGCTTATTTAATGTTTGTAGTAATATTAATACATCAAAGTCTTATCGCCCTGGGTATGATGATAAAACTATATCCTGCAACAAGGCCTATGCATCAGGAGGTTTTGAGGAATGTGGAACCACCTCTTAATTGGTGTTGATCCTAGGTCCATCCTAACCTGGGTGGTAGCACCTGTTAGTTATGGGCAAATAGTTAATCCTCCCAAATTCTGTTCAAATCCCTATGAAAATGTAAAAATACATTTTCATAGTAAAATTACCAGCAATACATTTTCGTAAATGAAATTACTATTGTTTCCAAGAAAATTAATTACGGCATTAAATGATCCATAAGGTGTTGATATGTTGCTAAACAAACAAACAAAATCTGTTTGAATTTTTTAGATGAAGCATTATTGTTATTATTAAATTTTGACTATTTTTTTTCATCTTATTTTTGTTGCTTTTTATCGCAACATTCAGGTTGTTTTATTTCCAATCCATGATGCTTATTTAATAGTCATGGAAATGCATTATAAATAGACTTAGTATTTCAAATTGCTTACATGAACCTTTGTCATTTTGACTAGTTTTCTTTTTCATCTTATTTTTGTTGCTTCTTAATGAAATGCTCAGTTTGTTTTATTTCCAGTTCATGCCATATGAGATTTAATCATGTGAAATTAAATTTTTTTTAGATCTTATTAAAGATAAGTTTTGAACTAAATGAATTAATACAGTTACTGTACTGAGTGTACTAACCAGTAATAAAAAATGTATGATTCATCCAACTGTAGCATATGAATTCAGTTACCTAACAGTGAAGAAATACAACCTATAATGGAATTCAACAAGTGTATAAATGCACAACACAAGCATACAGCATAATCCATTCCTATAATTTAAAGAAAACAATAGCATTGCTAAAACTTGCCGATTTTCTCAATATGGCTGTTAGAACAATGAAATTTAATTTTTCTTTTTCCTCATTTTTATTTCATTCTTTTTCTTATTTATTTTTCAGTTACTATGCTTGTCTGTGTGGCCACAAAGAAATTGTGAAATTTCTTTTGGAAAGAGGTTAGTTTTGATATTTCTATTTTTTTTAACGATTTTATTCTGTTGCATTCTAGTTAATGAGATATTCCAGATAATTGAGCTACTCTATACTACAAAAGGATCAATAAAATTATTTTTTTTATTGATTTTTATTGATATATAGTATGGCTTCATATCCTAGAAATTGTTTGCTACATAGAATATAATAAGAATATACAATTATCTTTTATTGAGCAAAAAAAGTCTTCCATTTGCTAAAGAGATTATCACTTCTATTTACACAGCTGCTTGTAAACCTCATGCCTTTTTTTGTTTTAAGATCACTTCTCCCATCACGTTATTAAATTACCTTTGATTGAGACAATGAAAGACTATCAAGAATATTAAGAGTACTCTTTGGAAAGTTATGAATCCACATCTTCTCCCTTCAGCTATGGGTTAATCAGTAAGACTTGTATCACTAAACCTAAAAATATTTTCTGGCTTTAAATAACTTGTAAAGGGTTGATAAGCTGTAAAAAATTAATAAACATGGTCAATTACAGAGGGGTTCCTTCAAAAAGAGTGAGAAGGTCTTGGATTTGGATTAGGAGAGTAAGGAAAAATTCTCTTGAACTCCTTTTTTCTGATTAAATATGATGTTGTTATATTAAGCATTTGGTATATGAGAGAAAGCATTAAAATGAGGATTAGATATTGAACAATATTGAAAGATGGATCATTCTCCTCTGCCTTCATAGCATTCACATCCGGCTAGCATGAAGAATGAATTGGAAAGAGATCTAATTGTGATGGAGTATAACAATTCCTTTTCCAGTTCAAAGAAATCTACACATTTTTCACTGTAAATGAAATTATTGCCTTAATTGTCATTATGATTCATAATCATAAGAAAAATAGTAAATTTAAGCTCTTCATTTACTTCCCCATTTCAAACTCCTTGCCAGGGTCAAAAATGGTTGTCATGGCATTGAAATTCAATCATGAAAAATCCTAAATAACTAATTTTGAAGCATGCTACCACTGCTGATGGGCTGCTATATTGTTAATAGGATATAACCCTCTAAAACAAATTGATATTAGTAGATTTAGTTGTAAAGCCAAATCCTGCCAGTCAATGTGGAAAGGATTAAGTGTACTAGTTGGAATAGCAAAAGATGCCTTTCAAAAACTTGGCCTAAGAAAATGTCATTTGAAACAAAGAAGAGAGTGCTGAACAAATATCAAAAGACAGTTGAAATTTCTAGGATATACAAGGAAGAAAGAAGAGTTAGAAAATTCGACACTCACAAGACAGATTGAATTCAAGAGGAAGAGAAGATATAACAAATAACCTACCTAAGAAGCTTGTGTAAATGAATGAATTGTTTTCTATGACTTATCAACCATGTGAAAGTGGGCAATGACAGCAAAAAGGTTGGCAACCCCTGTTTTATGTCATTGATCTCAAAATAATAAATAATAAATGATCTACATGCAAAATTTCATCCTTTTGTTATCCAATGAATCTTGCTTCCATAACACAATGTTTTTTTCGTTGGTCTTTTGTTTTAAAACTTTTACTCTCTTAATAGTATGCACTTTATTTCCCACTCCCCACCTTTGGCTCCTTCTTTTAGGTGCACGATGTGAGGCCAATACCTTTGATGGTGAAAGATGTCTGTATGGTGCTCTGAACAATGACATCAGAAATATGCTGAAGTCTTTCCATGTCATTTCATCAAAGATCTTAAGAAGGGACATTTATGAAGAATTCTTGAGAAGGTAAATTTAATTATTGTCTATTATTAAAAAATCTCATTAAAATCATCTTGTTTTGCATTAGAATTTATTGATAGCAAAGTTTTATGTGGTTTTTAATTTTAATTTTTTGCTTTTTTTGCAAAAAAGAGAATCACAGTTTTTGACAATTTTTTTAATTTCATCAATATTTCTAATTGTTCAAAATGAACAATCTGACTAGCCAATCAACACTTAATCCATCAAAGCCATTTTTGTGTGGAACAGGTCCAGAATAAAACTTCATATGAAAATTACCAGCAAGTTCCTTTGTCTTCCCATGAGATGGTACCATTTGTATTTTAATCCACCCACTCCTTCACCTGCATTGTTTATCTGTAAGATGAAATTTTTATTAGTCTTTTAAAATATTCTATCTTGTATATCAATATCAACACTTTTTATGCATTATGAACCTTATTTCATACACAATCAGTTTTTCCTAATTTTGCTATTGCTTTTTTCATACACACATCAGTAATAAAATTAAAAGTGTAAAGATTAAGTAGGGTGCAGCAAATCAGCCACTCCAGTTACAAGTATAACGATTCACACATTCTTTTAATAGGAGTGGCTGCTTTAATGTGTCCTACTGAATATTTAAACTTTTAACCTGTTGACTGGTTTGTGCTTAATGTATTTGAGATAATGATATATAAATTTTTATATCAAGAACAGATTTGGGGGAAAATGGATGACAAAGTGGAAAAAAGTTTTTGTGTGACATTTTGTTCTTTAGGACTTCATCAGACTAAATTTATTATGTTGGTCCGACACATGCACACAAATGAGGGATGCTGGGAATTAAAAAAGTTTTAAATTTTATTTTATATTTTTATTTATTTATTTTTTTTTTGTAACTTTATTTACAAGCACAAGATTATTTTTATCCTTTTGAATGTTGAACAAATTTCACTACAAAATAAGTAAGGATTTATTTCACATCACTTTCTCTATTTGGAAGCATGGCTAGTTGCTCAGATTGAGGAATCAGAGAGCTGAGTTCAAATTCCAGTTGAGTTCATTACATTCAATTACGTGCTAATACCCTTATCTCTTCACCACTCAGTTATGGACAAAATAGCAAGACAGACTTTCCTATAGCCTTGGTTAGAAACGAGTCTAGGAGAAAGAAACTCTGAATTCAAACTACCTACTGCCTTGTAGGTCCTGATTCTTTGGACAAAGGCTAGAAGAATGTAACCACAAGAACAAATCCACATTTGAAAGGAGGGACAGGGTAACCTCAACATCCCCGGTACAAAAGAAAACCAGAAAGCCATTGCACTCTTCTGCCTTGAATGTTACCATAAACCACAATTGTGAGATGGAGGGGAGTGGTGACCACAGTTGTAGTGTAAAATGTGTTAACTGAATGAATAATTCTCTATTTGCTTGTCACTAGAAAGTTTTGGTGTATTTAATAAATCCTACTCAAGATATCATCAGTTACATAAGCCACAAGTAATAAAATTAGTGCATTTCTTGTTTCTGGCACAATCTTTTCCCAAAAAGGTCTTCAAAATTCACTCTTTATGTTCTACGCCAATGGTTAGTTTGTCAATATTAGACTAATACCTAAACAGCTCTGTTTAGTTATATATATTTCCTTTTTTATTTTTGGATCATCAAGAGGCCATTGTATCAACTTGGCTCTCTGATTCCTCAACCTATATGTGTGTTGTGGATGTGTGTAATGTGTGTTGGAGAGGAATACAAGGTTTGAATTATCAGAAGGTTTAAAATTGTGTGTGTTTAATAATCTTCCATCCAGAACAATTAATACAAGATAGAGAAATAATGATTTATAAACATCTTGTTTCAAAACATAACAATTGAATTTATTAATATTTGATATACATGCATGAATACTGAGTGAAAAGATTAGACAGAGTTGTGTCTCTTAGATTAGGTAAATATTTGTATTCGAGCTCATAAAGTGAAAGTAATTATTAAACTGTAGTTTAGAAGAATAAAGTTTCTTTAGCATGTTTGGAATTGTGTATTGTACAAGTTGGTAAAAGTTCAGAAGAAATTTCAGAGTTCGTACTTGTGTGAATGTTGGTAATGGTCTTTAACGTCTGACTGCATTAGTTAAGATGGGAGTTCTTGAAGCTTACATCTTGGCAAATGAGACATGAGAGAGATTAAAAGAAATTACAAGGGAGTTTATACCTGTTGGGTTTATATATCTGCCTGTATCACATGACTGGCTCAGAATTGACTTGGTGCCTAAATTGACTCTGCACGTGAGAGCGATCTGATTGGTTGAAACTGACCAATCAGCAAGTTGGATGTACTGTGATTGACCAATGGTTTCTCATTGATATTTTGTATGAAAGTAGGATGTTACTTACCAGATAGGAAGAGTGCATTTCCTAAAAAGAGGTAAGGCTGGTTTGTTGTGGAAGATTCCACATGTGTATCAACACTGGCCCATTGATCACCCAAAAATAAAAAAGGAAATATATATAACTTATTATGAGGATTTGAAATAATCATAAGTAATTCATTGAGTCTGCATTGCAGAAAGCACTGGCCAGCCGTTTTATCCTATATTTGGGACTCATCAGATATAGGACAAAACGGTTGTCCAGTGCTTTCTGCATTCATTGAGGATTCTTCTAGACTTGATGAATTACTTAATTATGATTATTTCAAATCCTCCTAATTATTTCTATCACTTGTATATCCTTGCTTGAACCAGCTTCTAATGATTGGGGACAGAAGACGTGGCTCATGTGGGCACAGTCTGTTGGGTTAGGGAAACTCAGATGAGTTACACCATGGAATTTGTGAAGAGCAGCACTATATTGAGTCTAATTAGTTACCTCCTCATCACCAAGGACCATTGGTACAATTGGTATGATACTTGCATTGTATCATAGCAGTCTGTGTTCAATTCTCAGAGTATTGGATGCACACTGCTGATGAGTCCCAAATATAGGACGAAATGGCTCTCCAGTGCTTTCTGCATTCTGTTATGGTTTCTTCTAGACTCTATGAATTACTTTTATATATATATATATATATATATATATATATAGGGCGCGATGGATAAATTGTCATCTAAATTACACAAAAATGAAAATAACACTGTCATCTACTTTTAACAGATATATTTACCAAAATTACACAAAAACAAAATCGACATTGGCTTTGATCACAGCCTACAAATGACTTCAGAATCTCCTGTGACTCTTCGGACAGACTCCTTGTTTAATTTGATGAATACTTCCATAATTCTTGCCTTCAGTTCTTTGGTGTTAGAAGGAGTTTTGTTGGTTTTTTGCTCAACTACACCCACACATAATAATCAATGGGGGTTGCAGTCTGAGGAGTTAGGTGTCCCATGATGTGGTTGCAAAAATTGTCTGACAGCCATAACTGGCTTCTCCTATTTGTGTGGCATGGTGCAGAATCCTGTTGCCAGATAGAGGGTCTTCCAGCAGCCACCTTCTTGACCAAGGGCAGCACTAACTCCTCAAGGCACTTGATGTAGGCCTCCATGTTGAGCCCTCACCAACAAATTTGGGAGTTCTTTTCTTATCAGAATGATCAAAGTGAGTTTTCTGAGCTGTTGCCTCTTCATAAATCCATTAGATTCATTTAACTCTTTCCAAATCCTCTACACTGTCCTCAGATTGACACCCAAACATTTTGAAATGATATATATTAGAAACTACCTGCACAAATGCCTAGCAGTACAGCCATTTTCAAGTTTCTGGTGGAGTGAATTACATCATGGTACTCTTTTTCTCACATACAGTGCCCAACTGACCCAACTATACTGTGCAGTTGACAAAATCAAAAACAAACAACACACATTCACATAACTAAAAATATAATATGGTGACAATTTACCCATCATACCCTACATACGTACATACATTCATATATATATATATATATAAACGTGAACATTGAAGTCAACACTCAGAGGCAACTTTTATATTTATATACAGTCTATCTCTGACATTGAGCACTTTATCCCATAAATATAGCACACCTTAAAACTATATTTCTTCATACATACATACATATATATCAGTGAAAACTGAGGTTAACAGTCTGTTTCATGGTAGGTTGTTTTTTATTCTACTGTTTATGTCTGGGTATATCTCATGCTGGTCTTAAATTAGTAGCCCTGTTTCTTCTGAATCTGTATTACTGACCTGAGGGACTGAACTCACAATTACTTCTGTGACTAAGTGGATTAAAATGTTGGTTCATGAATTGGTGGCATAGTAATTGTGATATGAATATATCGTCTTGATTAATTGCCCTTTTAGTCATACTCAGTGTTTGACCTGTTCCTGCTAATTCTGAATATATTTGTATTATTTGGTCTAGGGAGGGAACCAACAATTGTCATCAATTTAACTTAGAATTATAAATCAATATTTTATATTTGTATATAGTGATTGATTTATATTTTTTTATGGCTTTTCAAACTTTTGCAGATTATTTAAAGCCAGAAAATATTTTTAGAGTGTAAGAATTCTTTCAGAGATAATAATGATTTACTTATACAAGTTGTACTAATTAACTCATAGCTGAGGAGAGAAGAGGTAAATTCATACCTTTCTTAAGGGTAATTGCACATAAGTAAATATAATGAACGTGAATTGAATTGGAACTTGGCTTCTTAATTTCTAATTCAGAGCTCTTATAATGCTCATAGTTTCTGGTTAATAATATTGTAAGGAAAACACTGGGACAAAAAAAGATTAATGAAGAAAATGTTTAATCATGAGGGACATAGACTTACAATACAATAATAGTGAATACTATAGTGTGACAATGCATATGACCACACAATGCATTGCAACTTACTTTGTGACCCTTGTTCCTTTGAGCAGACATCCTACTCATAGTGAATGGATATGTTTATGTTCAACAATTAGTGCAGAGAAGGTTGGTCATATTTCTACACAACCATTATCCATTATATCACCTGCACATCCAAGCTCACAGTACCTGATATTCTCAAGCAGTCATCCATTTAGGTTCTGACCAGGCTCAGTGTTGCTTAACTCTGGTGATCATACAAGAACCAGTGTTTCAGTGTGATATGGCTATAGATAGATAAAAAAAAAAAAAACTGATATATATGCTAGGGGTCGGCAACCTGTGGCACGCCAAGCAATTTCCAATGGCACACACCCACAAATGATATCACAAAGTCTGAACCAATAACTACTACAACGCAAAGAAGATATTTAACAGTTTCAATTTTAATATATACTAAAGTATATATATTAATATATAAAATATATTGTAGAATAGGTATATTGACCTTGACTTGTGTAAAAATACATATGCTGTTGGCACACTGAACAATTTTAAAACCTCAAGTCAGCACATAGTTAGCAAAAAGTTGCTTGCTCCTGATATACACTACAGTTTAAAAGTTGAAGCAACCCCCAGAATTAGAATGGGATGAACTTGATAGAAGTGTGAAAAAAATGTAAAAGAGCTCTTAGAGTCATTGAAAAAAGAATGGAATTGGTTATCAAACTCATACTTTGAAAGACTTTTGCAACAAATGCCAAAAATTTGTGCTGTAGTTATCAAGGCTAAAGGAGGATATTTGATTGAGAGCAAAATTTAATCATAAAATGCTTTCTTTTCTTTTGTCTAATAAAAAATCATGTCTCACTTTTTTCTTTTTTTTTCTTTTTTTTAAACTATCTATAATAATTTTCTCTTATTTAAAGTACAAGACAACTACTTTTGGGGCCTATTTAAAAAATTACCAGGGGTGGTCTCAAACTTTTGAACTGTAGTGTAAGTATAGATAATTTTTTTTTTTTTCCTAAATATTCTTTATTAAGAATATATGTTGGTTTTTATTAATGCTTGGAAACATGTTTTTATTTTGAGACAAGTATCTGTGATTTTTTTTTTTTTTTTTTTTTTTTTAAATTTTTGTCAGTTTTTATCATGTGAGTTTTAGTACAACACTTTTTACAATTGTTGAAGCTTGGCTCCAGCAGAGACAGGCTTCCCATTTTGTGCCCTGTTGTCATTGTCTCTTAGAATTTTTCATCCACAAAGTAGTACTCTACTATTAATGTCAGAACACTTTGGCATACAGGAGCTGATATTCTTATTATTGACTTGATTTGTTTGTTAATTACACTTAACCATTGCATTCTCTCTCTTCAACTTCCTCCTTTTATCTCTTTGCTTACACTGTTACAATTCTTTTGCTACCAAGGCTTTATTGGTTATCATTGTAGTCTTTTTTTGTTCAACAAATAGACTGTGTATTGTCAAGGTTGAAGTTAGGAAAGAAGTGAGACTGTTACTTATTTGCAAATGAACAACAGTCAATGCTTGAAATAATGGGTGTTATTTTAAGGTAAAAGAAACTGGACTGAAAAATCAATATGTAGCAGAAACAACTTATCTAAAACATTCAGGCAAAAATGAATCTTATTGTCAACCATAATTATTAATTTTTACTTGATTTTTATCATGACTTTATGGCAGTGAATAGACAGCACAGGATCAGAAATAAGAGTGTTTCATGAAACATTGTCAGTGATTAATAATTTTTGAATAGTATTGAACTTTGTTTATTAGCTAAAGCAGTGCCAAACATTATTATTCATTTTTGACTTGTATTTCCTTTCATCTTTATTTTTTTATTAGATGAAGCATTGTCAGCCATTATTATTAATTTTTGCCAACTATTTACTTTTATCTTCATTTTTAGCTATTTTTTATTACAATTTATGTTGTCAATCTACAACATTGTGTAGACAGCATAGGGTCAGAAATGAATAACAAGTCAATGTTGACATTCAAATCATGTCCTCTTTTGTCTCACAGAAACATTAACAGTTTGAACTTGGCAGATTTGCAAATCAAAAATAACCTATAACTCATGATTTCATTGCACAATTTCTCTCAGAACCATATTTATTTCATTTACACCAATGTTATTAGTAGCAGTAATATTATTTTTATTTTTTGTTAAATAAAGCATGGTCAGTCATTTTTAATTGTGACTATTATTGCTTTCAGTTATTTTTTTTATTGTTTTTAACCCAATTCTTTGGCAATAAAAAGCAAGTAAAAAATTCTATTGTCAAAAATTAACAATAGTCAACTTTGCTTTATCTAATAGAAAGAAAATACTTGTCAAAAAGTAACACTTCATCTAAAACGATAAAAAATAGTCAAAAATTAATAATAATGGCTGACAATGCTTTATCTAATAAATAAAATGAAGATGAAAGTAAATATAAGTAAAAATTATTAACAATTTGTTTCTAGACCATATTCAGTTATTGCATTTTGTTTTTTGACATTGTTAGGTCTTTGGAAATACCTGACAGTTTTAGAAAAGAGAAAATCCAAAACCTGTACTGATTATCTGCAAGTAGAAATTAAACCAAAATATTTTTAAATCTAAATCTCACTAAAGTATTTTTTTTCATTTTGATATAATACAATTTAAACTTTAGTGCATGAAACAAAGGACATTTTAAAAATTCATTATGAGCCTGTAACCATTACACAACCTGTACATTCTAATGATAAAGATTTAACAAAATATCAATTCCATTTATGTCATTTTTGACAGCATGGGTAAACTAATTTTTGCATTTGTGCAGATGAGAAATTGTCAGTGTATTTTAAATGTCATCTTTTAATTGTTACAGCTGTTATTATAAACACAGTATTTCAACTGATGACTCTCTAACCATCTTCAGTTGTTAATTAGCTCTGGCTGATAATGGATATATATTTATCAGCTGATTATTGCTTGAAAATAGTTTGAATAAATCCTTTATCTGAAAAATGGTATGAACCCCTTGTGATAAGACCAAATGTTCAATGCATTTGATATTGGATTTAAAAGGCTTAACCTGATGCCCTTTGGTATGGTGGCATAGTGGATAATAATAGTCAGCACGTAAAAGATTTTTCCTTTCAGTCCAAAATAATGGATGTCTATAATGTTAGTAATGTTTGATAAGACAATGAGACTAAACTTTTCACATTCACTTCTAGACTATCAAATTAACTTTGGCTGAGTTGATAGCATGTGGTTTCAGGTATTTCTTCAATTGTTTGATTTTCTTCTTTCAATAATGTGAGAGATTCTTTCTCTCTCCTCATAAGTCAGGCATTTATATAACTTCATATTATTCTCTTATGTGTGTGTGTGTGTCATAAGTTGAACTGGAGTCACTTCCTTATTTATGTCAGTATACTCACCAACATCCTTTGAGACGTCACTCTGCAGTTGTTGTCTTTGAAGTCACCTTCTAAATCAACTTTCATGGTTCCTAGGTTTTCTGGTGAATCCAGTACATATTGGGGTCACCACAAATCAACTTTTCTTAGATCAGAGTTCTTGGTGGACATTAAATTCAATTCAGTCCTCTAGTATTTCATGGCACAAATAAAATACTACAAATCTAAAGATTGCCAGAAGGTACTTAACTGAAAGTTTTTTTTTAGTTACTATATATACTCATGTATCATGTGACCTTTGAAGATCTCATTTTGAAGCTAATTTGACTACAGTAAATGGATATATAGTTTGGTCAACAGCATATCCACGGCCAGCAGTACATACACTAATTTTATATCTTGTGTATGATATGACCCCATTAAAATTAGCTTCAAAAGTCACATGATATGCATATATGGTAATTTTATAATAAATAAATAAAATTTTTAAAAATACATATGGAAAAACAGGGTACAAATTCTTGTGGAAAAGAATATTTATATTTTAGTAATTACAGTGAATGAACATGTACTGTACTGTACTGTACATAGTACTGATGTTAGATACCAATGTTATAACTGAATATTTTATCTATTTATTTAATTTTAAGTAAATGGTTGATATTTTTAAATACCTTACTGCACATTTTTTTCTTTCTTTCTTCTAGATTATTAGAGGATGTGACATTCTCAGATGTTGTGTTTATTGTCCATGGGGAATGTTTTCATGCACATCGGGCAGTTTTGTCTACACGCTCTTCATACTTTGCTGAACTGCTTAATAGCAAATGGAAGAATCGCAGAGAAATTAATCTCAACCACAAATTAGTAAGACTTTTTTGCAATATAATTACTTTAGCTGGGACAATTTTAATGAGAAAGAGAAAATAAAGATAATTGTGAATCTTAGGTCTTTCAGATGAATATTGTAAATTCATTTTTGTTTTGTGTTTTTTATAATTTCATTTATTTTATAATTTATGAAAAATATAACAGGGGTGCTGAAAAGTTCTTTGCCGAGCTCTTTTCATCAAATGAGTATTTCAATGATTAAATGTCAGAATTTTATTTTGGAAGGGTTAAAGTAACTTAAAAACCAATGTTGAATTTCAAAGTGAATATGTTGAACAGCAAGTACATTTTCCTTTCTTGGTTTGGCTGAGAACTTTTCATTATTGCCTTGTCTTTGCACACACACACACACACACACACACACACATATATATATATATATATATATATATATATATATATATATATATATATATAAAATGTTAAAAAAGACAAAAGGAAAACTTAGCTGACATGTTTCATCCACTGAGGGACATTATCAAGGTAAATACCATCCCTCAGAAGATGAAATGCGTCAGCTAAGTTCTCTTTTGTCTTTTATCATATTTTCAAATTTTGATGCATACTAAAACAACTAAAATTTAGGCATGAAACAGACTGTTGCCTCTAAGTGTCGACTTCTATGTTCACTTTTATATTTACACATGCTCTATCTCTGATATTGAGCACTTTATCCCATAAATATAGCACACCTTATATATATATATTTATATATATATATATATATATATATATATATATATATATATATATATATATATATATATATATATATATATATATATATATATATATATATATATATATATATATATATATATATATATATATATAATATATATATATATATAAAGTTTTATTGAATAAGACAAGAAGGTCTATAAACCTAACCTACTATAATTAACACCTTAATAAGATAACACCAAGCCAGGTGAAAAAACAAACTAACAAGAAAAATGAAGAAAATGGCCAAGCAAAGACACATAACCAAATATTTCCTTTTGACATTTAAGTATTAATTAAAAAAATATAATAATAATACTTATTATTATTCAAACAATAAATAAATAAATAAATCTTTACAAAACCCTCTAAATATTATGGAATATTAATATAATTTTAAGTTACCACTGACCCCGGAAATAACTTCACTACATAATCTTTTGATACTCAAGGCCAAAAGATAAAGAAAATGAGTAATGAGAAAGTATAAAGAGACAAGTAAATTATGAAAAGAAATAACCCTGACATCTTAAACATATGTACATGTACAGGTGTGTTCACAAACATGCACTCTCACACATACAAGGAAGATTATCTTTTTTTAACTTAATATAAAACTAATGTAAACAAGAAAATTGGCAAACGTTTGCTGATATTTCCTGATGAGTGGATTGAACAATTACAAAAAAGTTTGTCTATTGAAACTTCAGAGCAGAGGTGTTGAATATAACATCAATTAGTTAAGTGACAAATTTTACATTTGGATTAATCCTATTTGACTTTTTATATAGATTTCTGACTGAGGTTTTTTATATTAAGACTCAAAATGTAAAACTGAAGTTCATTTTTATACATTCAAGTACTTTCAATTGTCATTACAATCATTATCAAGAATTGCAAGTAACAAAAGAAACAACAATCATTCAATAGAATATCTTTCTCCATAGGAGAAGTGTGTACAATTTAAAATTAAAAAAAAGCACATATAAATTCAGTTTGACCGTTGCTGACAATGTTACTCTTAACCAAATTAAATTCTATTCCAGCTACATGAAAATGTCAGAATTTGCCAAACACTTTTTGCTGAACATACTGTTTGCAATAACTACTTGAATATATAAAAATGAACTTTCAGGGAATTCTGAACTGAACCCTTTATTTGATTTATGGGCGTAGACTGTTCTCATTCCACAGCCCATGTCTAGGGATATCATATCTAGTCCTTACTCTTGGTACTGCTCAGTTATTGCTCAACTTGTTTCCAAGTCCATGTGTATACACTGCCCAGCTTGAGGATTGAACTTGAACATAGATTAAATTAAGGGTTCAGTTCATAATTCCCTGTAAGTTACCCAGAATGACATACACAGAATGAAAGCTGGGGTCACAATGGCCAAAACATTGTGATAACAACAACAAAGATGAGTACAATAGTCCATATGTCAGATCTTGTCTGTGTTATTCAATAAAACTTGTTTAGATGAATTCCTGCTACCGAAATACACCTTTTTATATATATATATATATATTTATATATATATATGAGAGAGAGAGAGAGGGAGACTGATAGATAGATAGATAGACAGACAGAGATTCCCCCCACACACATATTATTTATTTTTTATTTTCTTTACTGAAAACCATAGTTTATAAATTATTGCTAAGATATATATATATATATATATATATATATAGTAATATTGTTTGCAAATTATTATATATATACCAGTTGTAACAGCATGCAATAATTGTCCATCCCACAAAATGTTTAATATATAAAAAAACCACTAAACTAAGTGAGTTTCTATTTTTCAGGTTTTCAGATAAGACGTTTAACCATCTTGACACCATTCGTCATTAAGAATCACTAAAAAATCCTTTAAGTTACTCAGCTAGAAAGAGAACAGGTTAAAATCATTTTGTGTCAGGCCTACTATGTCTTCCCAACTAAGCAATGGTGAGAAGAAAAAGATCATTCAGGCCTTCAGTAATGGTACCAACATTCATGCTCTAGCTTCCATCTTCAAAGTCCATTCAAGAACCATCAAGAGAATACTGAATAAGTTTAAAAAAGAGAAAACAATAGAGAAGAAAATTGGATTAGGAAGTCAGAACAGGAAGAGGGATCATCATTTCAACTTAGCACTAAATACATTCTTATTGGTCAAAGTAGAGTCCAATAGTGTTATAAAAACCTCAGAGAATTTGAGTAAGATGACTTTAATAATTTCTAAGATACAACAGTTCAAAGCTTAATCTAACAATTTGCTGTTACACCCTGTGTGTGTGTGTGTGTGTGTGTGTATGTATGTGTGTATGTATGTGTGTATATATATATATATATATATATATATATATATATATATAAATAATGTAATATAATTTAAAAAAATTTTTTTTTAAGAATTTAATTTAAGAAAAGAATATAAGAATTTTAATCTTTCACTTTTCTTTCAGATATCACCCTGGGCTTTTAAAGCACTTTTGCAGCATCTTTACACAGGTACTCAATATATTTCATTGAATGGTTTTGATTGTAACTGTATTGCAAAAATCTTTTAGTTGTTTCTATCTACAGACACCTTACTTAAAGCCATAATTGAGTTCATGGTGTTTTTTTAGTTGAATGTTGGTTTTTATATTCAAGATGGATGAACACTTGGCAAAGAATATTTTGGAAGTTTTATTTTTCTTTGTATACAAATACAGAGTTGTATCCTTCTTGTGCAACAGAGTTTGTAGTTTGCAGTACATTAGAATGGAGAGATTGAGTGAGAGTGAGACCCCCCCCCTCCTTCTTTGTAGCAGAAGTCTTGATTAGTTCTTTGGTGTTTAGAAGTGGACCAACCTTTTCCGCTTTCTAATAAAAGGATAAAGAAGATTGATGTCAAAGTCCTCTTTTTATTCGATTTATGTTGAGGTTGGTAAGTGATAGAGGCATGTAATGAATGCTTGTGGGATTGTCCTTAGCTTTAGTACTGGATCTTTGATGTTTTGTTTCGCTTATCCAAGTCTCTGGTTTCAGAAATGAAGTTAGCTGATTGACCTGTCCTTAAGAATGCTGGTGTTAATGACGTGTTAAGATCATAAGTAGGTGATGCTTTTCAAGGGATTTAAGATAAAGAAATATATTTTTATTTTATTTACTAAATCTTAGCCTACTATTACAAATTTAGGAAGACTTACATAACAATTTCACTTGTATTTTGTAGATTCAGATTTTTTAGCACATTTTAAATCAACTTTCCAATCTCCTGAATATAGAATTTGAGTGATTTTGGTAAAATTGTAGAGAAAACTTATATTTTGTAGATTAGTCAGTTAAATATACAATAATAAAGATTAGAGAAATTGAAAATCTGAGGAAGGCTTGAAACTTTACAGACCACAGCTGGAGTCTAAAGATACTGAGAAAGGTGCTGAAGATTTCAGGGTACTGTTTGTCCCTTGATCCTCTTTAATGGCCATCAGACATCGAATGTGAACATGCAATTACATGAATTAATAATAATAATATTAATTTTCAAAGTCATTTTGGTGATTAATGTTATAGTTTATTAATATTTCTGTCTAAATTTTTGGGATGAGGAATTATCATTATTTACTTTTGCACTATTGTCTTTGTCTTTATTATCAATGTTTCAGCTGTTTTGATCTAGGTTACATTCAGAGAATTTTGAACTTAACACTTTATTTAATTTATTGGGTAGATTGTTCTCATTCTGTTGTCCATGTCTAGGGGCAGCTCATCTTGTTTTTATTTAGTATTGCTCAATTATTACTTTCACTGTTTCCACAGCCTTAATTTATGCTACCCAGCCCAGAGATTGAACTCACCATATCACCAAATTCACAAACCAACACTTTAATCCACTAGGCTATTGTTCATTTCCTCCCTTATTTGTATCCATTTGTAATGTGTGTATGCGTGTCCTCAATGAGGCAAAGTCACTATTAAATGATAGATTGAGGCATCATGTGGCCTCTCACCAGTTTGGTTCTAGAGATTACTAGTGGCTCTCTGAACAAAAGCAAATCTTGAATCCCTTCAATCAATTTGGAGAATTGTTATTTATTACTGATAAAGCAGAATGCTTTCCTTAAAAATTATCTTCCAACTTGGTTGGTTGATTTTCTTTAGCAACATATCAACTCTTTTATGTGTTATTTAATGTAATCTAAATATTTTGAACACAATTGTATGACTTCAACTACAAATAAAATGTATTGCTGGTCATTTTACTTTAAAATTGTATTGTTGGTAATTTTTGCTATAAATATATATTGTTGGTAATTTTACTATTAATATTGGTAATTACTTTTATATAAAAATGTATTTTCATACTGTCATAGTGTTTTGTTTGTGTTTGAGAGTTCACTATTTGCCCATAGCTGGGACCCTAGCAGGTGCTACCACTCTCAGTTAGGGTGGACTTGGAAACAACAGTAATTAAAAGGTGGTTCCATGCTCCTCAAAACCTCCAATTTCCCGATCAATGGCTTTGCTGTAGGATGTAGTTGATCATCACACCCAGAACTTTCAACTTAATCCTCAACTCTTCAGGAGTCTTTTTGCCTGATTTCCATATTAGAACGGAATCTTTACTTCTTAGGCTCATGTTTTCCATTGACATTAAGTAGAGTGATTATATTGAATCAATTGCCAAGTCTACTGCTAGGAAAGTTGGCTCACTGTGTCATGCCAGACAATTTTTCCTGTCAGAATCCATCTTGCACATTTATAAATCTACCATTCATCTGTGCAGTGAATATTGCTACCATATCTGGTCTCCTGCTCCAGCTGTATATCTTGAGTTTTTTGACAAAATCCAGAGAAAGGTCTGTAATGTTATCTGTCCTGACCTGACATTTCAACTCTTGTCACTTTCCCACCACTGTGGTGTGGTTTCCCCTCTGTCTTTTCTATAAATATTTTCATGGCAATTGTTCTGATGAGCTTTCCTCCATGGTACCTCAACTACATGAATGTGTACTACTAGATTGGCAAGTAGGTCTCACCATTTTACTGTTGAACTAGCTAGATGTAACTGTAAGTTCAATTCTAATAGTTTCTCTTCTCATACTTCTTGCTTTTAGAACTCTATTCTTGTTTCTTGATTCCTTGCCAACTACAATGTCCAAAAATTTAAATGCAACACCAATTGCCTTTTCCTGTCTTCCTGAACACTGTTATTTTTATTCTTCTTTCTCCTCACTAAAGTCTTCTTATTCTCTTTCACTCCCAGTAACCTGTTGCGTCTTAGTGGCATTATCACCTTCTGTCTTCCTGAAACCTGTTCTTTTATTGTCCTTTCTCCTCACTAAAGTCTTCTTATTCTCTTTCCCTCCCAATAACCACTTGCATCTTAGTGGCATTATCACAATATTCTGTCTTCTTGAATACTGTTCCTTTATTGTCCTTTTCCTCACTTCTCCTCATTCTCTTTCACTCACAGTAACCCCTTGCATCTTAGTGGCATTATCACCATCTTCTGTCTTCCTGAGACCTCTTCTTTTATTTTCCTTTCTCCTCACTAAAGTCTTCTCATTCTCTTTCACTCCCATTAAACCCCTTGTGTCTTAGTGGCATTATCACCATCTTCTTTCTTCTTGAAACCTGTTATTTTATTATCCTTTCTCCTCACTAAAGTCTTCTCATTCTCTTTCACTCCCAGTAACCCCATGCGTCTTACTGACATTATCGCCATCTTCTGTCTTCCTGAAACCTGTTCTTTTATTCGCCTTTCTCCTCACTAAAGTCTTCTCATTCTCTTTCACTCTCAGTAACCCGTTGCGACTTAGTGGCATTATCACCATCTTCTTTCTTCCTGAAACCTGTTCTTTTATTATCCTTTCTCCTCACTAAAATCTTCTCATTCTCTTTCACTCCCAGTAACCCTTTTTTGGAGAAAAAAAAAAGGAAAAGTTTGTTGATTGATATATGTTTTGTTTTATAGCCCATTCTGAGATCAATATAGAGCACATAGAGGACTATATGCGACTTGCCCGTCAGTGTAAATTACATAACCTGATGCAGACAATTGAAAAGAGTTTGGAAAAGCTTTATAATTATGGTAAGTCTGAACCTTGTCTTTAACCCATCTTTATCAGAGAGAGAAAACTTGGACATTCATGTTTGCAAAATCACAGGAGTGTCTAAAGGACTGTATTTCCCATAAATCCACTTTTATTTTAATTACCATCACTCCTCAGCAATATATATCTTTTTAAAAAGCAATGATTAGAATTGTAATAAAACCTAAACATATGATTAAAGTGAATTTATACATTTTCTTTGTCATTGAAAATTGACAACAAAAGTATTAAATACTATTTATTAGATTCCTTATTTAAAAGAATTTTATATTTACAACATTCTAAAAACTAGTACAATTAGAACAAATGCAATGCAATATTTATCAATTACCAATTTATAAAAAATAAATATGAAAACAATTTTTCATTCACAAATTTATAAACATTTACTAAATTATTAAAATACGTGAACCAACTATCACAAAATCCTTATTAATTACCATTTTATAAATTTTGAACTGATTGACAATTAGTTGATGTTTTGGCAACCATTCCAATAAATAATATGATAAATAAATAACATAAATAAATAATCTAATAAATAGTGTTTATTATTTTTGTTGTGAATTCTCAAGAATAAAGAAAATGTATAATTTTGCTTTCATATGTTTAGGTTTTAATACAATTTTCTAATCTTTGCTTTTTTAAAACAATAAACATTGCCGAGGAGTGAAGGAAGTTGGAATAAAAAAACTGTCAATAAAAAACAGTCCTTTTGACTGTCCATTTTTTTTGCAGGCACAAATGTCCATGTTTACCAACCCAAGATTTAATTCCAGATAATACCTTATTTTAAATTTCCTAATTTTCTCAGCTCAATGAATTTTCATATTAAAAAATGAACAAAGAAAAAATGAAAATTTGTATCCTTAGCTTTTATTTTAAATTTTCCATGCTAACATTTAAAGTGAGGTTCAAGGAAGATAAAATGCATATAGATAAGTTTTCTCACGGTTTTTGAATATATTTTTTCAATTATTATATTATTAATCTTGAAGTATCAGTTTATTAATAACAATAAAGAACCGATCCCCCCACTTTATGTCCACTAGGAGCGTCTATTCGTACAAGCTTAACCATGCTGTCAAAAATGACAGCCTATATTTTCTTCACAATTATTAAAATTTGACACCTTAGACTTTAAATCTAATCATTTGGCCTGGTGCTTCTGCTATCTATTTAGAGATTCTTGATAAAAATACAAAAAAAGAATCTGCAGTGTTATTGGTCCTGACCTGGCATCTCAGCTTCAGTCACTTTTCCACCACCGTAACCTAGCTTCCCCATACCTTTTCTATATTTGCATGATAATTGTTCTGATAAACTTTCCTCTTTGGTACTTAGACTTTATGAATTTAAGTGCAGCACTAGATTGGCGGCAGGGTTTCATCATTTTACAGTTGAAATGGCTAGATACAATGGTAAGTTTTATGCTAGCAGTTTCTTCTCTTGCATTTCTCATTTGTGGAACTCTCTCCTGGCCTCTTGCTTTCCAGGCAACGTTGATCTTCAAAAATTTAAGTGCAATGTCCATCATTATCTTTTGTCTTCTTAATTCCTCTTTTATTTTTTATTCTTTTGTTCTCTCTCCTTAATATTTTTCTCATATCCTCCCACACTCCATAACCCCTTGCATCTTAGTGACTTTATTGCCTTGCAATTGCATTTTTTGGAGTGAAATGATTAAAAAAAATTATTTTTTTCCAATTATTAATATGTAGTCATTTGAGATGGGGTGTGGTGACAGTTGATTAATTAATAATGATAGAAAACAGATTTTCCATTTTATAATGAGTAAATTATTTACAGAAGTTTATATTTATAGAAATTTAACCATGCTGCCAAAAATGACCTTACGATTATTAAGTTTTCAGAAGAAATCTTTATATTTTCCAATTATTAACGTTGATCCATTTGCCTGTCTGTATACCAATAATCTCTGATTGCGTTTTTCTAGTTGACTGGGATCATTTCTCTGACTCATTCATTTAACAAGTCTGCTGCTTCACGATGCCAGTGCAAGGGCGATAACATTTAATTATCTCCCTTGCTAATAAACGTTACAGGCAAAACGTATGCTCATCTACTGGGCGTATTAAGATAATCATAACTTTCAAACCAGGATTTGATCTGTTAATTTTGCCTGTTGTACAGTTTGTCGGGTGATAACTCAAAATATGCTCTATCAAAATAAATTATATATTTCTGTCTAAATTTCTGGGATAAAGAGTTATTTTACACACACACACACACACACACACACACACACACACTGCAGCTCAATAGTTTGAAGTCACCCCCAGAATTAGCATGTGATGAACTTGACAAAAGAGTGAAAAAAAATAAAAAAGAACTTTTAAAATCATTGAAAAAAGAATGGAATCATTTATGAAATTTGTACTTTGAGAAACTTTGCAATGAATGCCAAAAGTGTGTGCTGCAGTAATCAAGGCTAAAGGAGGATATTTTGATGAGAGCAAAAATTTAATCATAAAATGTTTTGTTTTCTTTTTGCCATAAAACTTTCTAATAAAAAAAATCATGTCTTTTTTTTTCTTCTTTTTTTTTCTTCCTATTTTTTTCTTTTTTTTCTTCCTATTTTTTTCTTCTTTTTTTTTCTTTTAACTATGGATAATAATTTTCTCTTATTTATAGTACAAAACAACTACTTTTGGGGCCAATTTAAAAAAAAAATACCAGGGGTGGTCTCAAACTTTTGAATGATAGAGTGTATGTGTGTATATATATATATATATATATATATATATATATATATATATATATATATATATGTGTGTGTATTTTTAGTGGAAAGTGCTCAATATCCGTGATAGAGCTGACATATGCAGTTGCATGGAGAGTTGTTTGTGACCTTAGGTTTCACACTTTTGGCAATCTTCAGACAAACTGGTTTATTTTTTTCAAAAGTGGATCTATTTATACTTTATTTGTGTTTGATGGTGGGGGAGAAAAATTTTGTTATGTGTTTGTTTGGGGTGATACAAGCATATACATGTTAGTTCATACATATATACCCAAATTCATAATCTTGGTTTCTGTGCAAGCAGATGTATGTATGCAATTTTCATTCTGTCTATTTCAGTGTCAAGATTGTAGTGTTTCATAAATGTAGCAATGTTCTCTTAGTAGGGGAGTGGTGGGGGCAACTTTGACATTTTTAGGTCGGCTGTTTGTGTCGGCAGACATGCTTACATGCACTCACACATACACACATATGTAGACGCACATTGAAACTCATTGATTTGGGTCTACTTCCGCTACATGGGTTAAGCTGGGTTCTGTCTGTAAACATGGTGATAAATATTTCTTGAAAATTACTTGCTTACTTTTGTCCTACTAGACCTTGAGTTGTGACAGTTTGTGTCATCCATATGTTTCGACAGACCTTTCTACCACCTGATGAATATTCATGAACCTTATCAAATTTAAAAATCTTGATAAAGCAATGACATCCTTGCCCTTGTATATAAACGTGTGTGACAAAATAAATCCTTACATTTGCCTTGATAAAGTCCCTAATGTGACAAAACACATCGGTTAAGAATGGTTTTTTCCCCTTGTTTTTTTATTCATATATATATTGTTGTAATGGAATGTCCCACTCTCCCTATCGCCTATTGTGGACTGACTATATCATTAGATATATATAGTGTGCACAGGATATACCTGGTGGACTTGCTTCAGGAATTACTAGCCTGCTATCTGATTCCCTGTTTTTCAATAGTGTATTCTCTTTTATAATAAACCTCTTTCTTTCATCTATGCCTGTTCCTTTCACTGAAGTACCATCTTTATCTGTTTGTAACCTCTTTAAGGATACAATAAATATATATATATATATATATATATATATATATATATATATATATATATATATATATATATATTTGTAACCTCTTTAAGGATACAACATATATATATATATATATATATATATAGTATATATAAGGCAGTAGTTTTTCATTTATACAAGTTTGGTTAAAGACCAATAAAAGTCCTTTCTTAAAGATATTTTAATTAATTGGCCAGCATGAGACTGTAACCAACAGTACTAACAGGCCATATTACCTGTAATAAGACAAAAAATTATGGGTTATTAGAACAAAAATTCAAATTCTGATGTCAGGTGTCATTACTTTTGGAGGAAACTTCATAAATGTGATTTAATAACTTTTCAGCACTACTTAAAATGACTGGTCCATCATTAAAAAAGTGTGTGGGATGTAAATAATTTTTGGACATTAGACTTTCCTTAGACAGATGCTGAAATCAAAAATATTGATTTTGTTATTATTTTAGAAGGAATGTACTATTCATAATGTTGGTAAAATCGACCCCAAAATTATTTTGTTGATATTGATTGTTGGCTTTTCTTTTCAGCACGTACAAAACCAGGCATCATGATTACAACCGTCAACGTGGAATCAGAATTTGAATCAGAAATTCTTCAAACTGAATTGTTACAGCTAGCCAATATGGCACAACCTCCAGAGTTAAGTTCTTGGGTAAAAGGATTTCTACTTTTTATTTTTAAATGAATGTTGTATCTTTATATCTGACATTAATAGACTTTGAAACAATATGATATAAAAAAAAATTCTGAATAATGGTAAACAAATGACAAGAGAGAAAATGTTATCATGGCAAGTTCAGAATGATATATTCAGAAAAGTAATGGCTTTAATGGAACCAATCTTATATATAAAAAAAAGACAAATACTAGCTGCCAGTTACATCAAAATGTTAAAGATACAAAGCTACTGAATGTGACACAAGGTAGAAATTTAGGGTAACAACAATACTATGCAAGCCCACTCAACACTTCCCTTTTACAGACATCTAAGGCACTGGGTAATAAACCCAGCTTGTGAAGGGGAGGTACTGCCTGGGGAGAAGACTCCTTAGGGATTGGGCTTAAAATTTTTGAATCTCCTCAACCTAGAAAGGGCCAAGAAACAATTTTATTTTTCGGCACACCCATGTCACTACCGAATGTGACACAAGGTCAATATTTAGAGTGGGTTTACCAGCAATACAGTGAAAGAATTGTCCAAGCCCGCTCAGAACTTCCCCTTTTAGACACGCCTCAGGTGCCGGGCAATAAACCCAGACCACTCTTGAAGGAGAGATACTGACAGGATGGAGGGAGAGCATCTTGGGCTTAGAATTATTTGAACTTCCCTGACCCCTAAAAAGGTTAAAGGGAAGATACAATGATGCCACATATTTAAATCAAATTTTGACATCAGCTGCTTATTGACTGAGTTTGTGTCTGTACTACTTGACCAAGAGATTGAACATACAAATTAACCTGTCATTAAATTCATTAGCCAACACTTGAACCTGTGCTATTGGCCTGAAGCTAGAACTTAGAACCTTAAACCTAATGCACACACACACACACACACACACACACACACACACACACACATTTTCAAGACTGCCTGATAATTCTTTATTTCAGTACAAGTAAAATGATAGTAACGTCTGTTAAAAATACAAGAATAAAATTTTCATACATAAAATAATTGTTTATTCACTTGTGAACTCTGTGAAATTAATATTTACCACACTGAGGGTATATGGTTTGGGGATCTTTCTTTGCACTTTATTCTTCTTTAGAGGATGCAAGGAATTCTACTGTCCCCTGTAAGTCAGGTATTTATATAACTTCTTGTTATCTGATTTTGTTAAGACTTGTTCCCAAATGTTTTTCTCTGGGTCGCATTTTTGGAATGAAAATTTGCTTGCACCTCACCAAATTTTGTGATAAAAAGTACATTTAAAAATAAAAAAAATTACTAATAGTGCATTAAATAAAATGTATAACACAAACAACTTATAATATGATTAAAGTAAACAAACTTAATGAAAAGTATGAGCTTGTTTTTGTTGTGTAATCTCAGGAAAGGAAATCCTGGTGTAAAGGCACAAGCAGCCCTACAGCAAAAAAGGTCCAGAGAGAGGGTTAAAGGGAGATAATCGCGGATGTGAAATCAGAATACTATCATTGATAACTCTCTCCTCCAATTTGTGAGCCCTAGTTACTATATTCTTAATACTTGATATAATACAAAAATATCACAATGATGAAATCGGTCAATAATTATTTATAACTATTTAGACTGGGACTCATGCATGCAATTACAAATAATACATAATGATATTTTAAATTTTGAAATCATATTTATTTTTGGCATATAATTTTTTTAAAACTGGTCTCTCAATCATTCCGGCTCACTTGCTATCATCATCTGCCATACCTATGAGGCATGTGCACTGTTTGGGAACCACTGAAACACAAGTTCAATTGGGTTCATTCCTTGATTTATATTGGTGCACCCATTAACATCCTTCTAGGTCTGGTTCTGCACATGGTGATTTTGAAGGCTAGTTCTATGTCATTTCACAAGGCACCTTAGTATTTTGACTTCTGAGCTGACACTAAGTACAAAACTTGCTTTGGTATCTCTTACATCAAAAGTTACTGATGGACATTAAATTTGACCTGATCTCTGCTATTTCCTGGTCTGAATCGCATACTGTATAAATATAAATTCACCATCTCTTTTTAATATTCCTTTGTTCTTTACAGCTGATTTCTTTCTCTTTCTTTAGCCAATTGGTGAGTTGCCATTTGAGCCAGAATATGGGACACTCTTTGCTGATGTTGGCTTCATTGTTGATGGTCATCGATTTCTTTGTCACAAAGTAAATAACATTGTTTTCACTTTATTCTGGTATCGACATACATTAAGAATAGCTATTTGCCACTTTACACCTTTATTCTAAAAATATCAAACAAGACTATCAGATTTCAGAGGAACATTTTAAGATTTCAAAAGTGAGGGTTAAAGTTCCCTTCTATCATTTATTTATTTTTTTTTTATTGAACTGATGATACATAAGACTAAAAAGGAATTATTATTTTACAAGATTTATTGGTATAAAATTAGGTCTTTCTTTATCTGATTCATTCAATATAATTAAAATAAAAAATCTTGTATTTAAAATGGTGCTTATAATGATATTAATACTTAACTTTTAAAAAGGTAGCCACATTTAACCCTGAAGAGATTTCAATTGTTAAATCTCTGGAGTCCTGATCAAATTGTTGAAACATCTTAATATTAAATGCTAGTACAATTAAATTGACACATCTCAAAAACCATTGACAAGTATTTACAAGATGATTTTATATGAAAGTAAATTGATTTCTCTTTTAAATCATAATTTAACCTCCTTGATATCAAGGAGTGTAAATTTGGTATTCTTTTTGCCATTCAACAACCGATTTTTTATCTGATAAATAGAGTTGTGAATTAATGATAGTTTAAAAAGATAATGCCATGTCCCGTCATAATGTATGTGATCATGGCTCTCCACAGATTCCATTTTTTTTAATTATCTATGAATTTCCATTTTATTAAAAATATTTTTAAATGCCATGTACTTTCAGGGCATAGGTGATTATGGTTCTCCACATATTCCCTTACTTTATGAATTGCTATGAGTTCTTGGGAAAGATAGTAGAATGGTTTCTCTTTTGCCTTTTCCTCAAAGTTTTTCTTCTCTTAGAGCAGTTGCCATCCAAATCGAGAGAGCCCTGTTTACTCCTACTATTTAACCCATAGCTGAAGGGAGAAATGGATTCATAACTTTCCCAAGGTTATTTGTGTAAAAGTAAACATAACAAAGTAGAATTTGCATTCTGCTTTCCAATTCCACTTTCCACAATGATAATTATTATATTACCTAAACATCCCATAATAAGTGAGATTAAGTGTTAAAAAAAAAGGCAAAGTTAAATCTATGTACCCACAAAAAAAACAGTGTGTCAAAAGGACGGTGTTTTCTTGACACTGTTATTGCTGACAATGTTTGTTGTTTTAAAAAACTATGTTTACAATTTTAATAACAAAGATGTTACATACCATTTAGTTGTTAGATTGTTTATTTACAAGATCAGTTTTATATTTACAACATTATAAAAATGTCTGAAACAACTACAATGCAATATCTATTATTTACCATTTTATAAAAAAATAAATATGAAAAATATTGGCTAATTGCCAATCAATTTGAATATTAACATACTTTTTTTTGTATTAACATATAGATAGTGGTAGAGGCTTACTGTGTAGTGGTGTATGAGTGTAAGAAAAGGCAAGAAGTGAAGTTCATGGGATTATGCAAAAAAGATAACATTTAACCCTAGAGGTCAAGATTGTATTGATTGAGCAAACATTCTGCCAGGAGTTTCTTGGGAATAAGCTGTCCAAATGAAACTATTTGAATACGAAAGGAAAATATAATGGTTAACCCTAGACTTGAAGAGGTGAAGATTGTAGTGATTGGGAAAATATCTTGTCAGGAGTCTCTTCTACAAAGCAGCAATTCTTGGGAAGAAGCTGTCCAAATAGAACTTGCTCTTTACTATTGGAATACAAAAGGAATGGGGGATGATGTACAATTGTGTACACAGTATGACTGTTGTGAATGGCAGGACTAAGGAATGTAGCTCTTCAGAACACGTGCCATGGAAATAGTGATAGAACAGTGAAAGACTTGAAATGTTTCATCTGTGGTAAAGGAATTCAAGGGTGGAAAATAATTTATCATATTTTTATAATCTTGCTTATTTTTAGTGGATACTCATATTTAAGTAGACATTGTTTATTTATTTTCCTCGACCATTCTTAAATATTCAAGAAATCCTATTAGAGAAAAATATGCGCACTCCTGCAGGACTCAAATCTGCGTTCCCCTAGGGGAAACCATCATTAGATTTGGTGTGTTTTGCCCTCTCAGCTACAGAGTGTATCGATGAACAAATAAAGTTGAATAGTGCCTTTAAACAGATTTTTCTGCAACTCTCGAAATAAACATATCTGCTCAGTTTCGTATCCTAATGTTAACAAATCAACTTTATAAAAAAAAAAGGTCAGGTGGGGATTGATTTTTATTTATTAATCCAACAGATTTTTATTACTTAAATGATATTTTTAGTGGATACTCATATTTGAGTAGACGCTCTGTCTATTTATTAAACACTAAATTTATTTATTTTCGTCTACTGATTAATCTTGTAAGTAAACAATTGCTAAATGTAAGTAGTGTATATTAATATATTTGTTGTGATTAAAATTTTCTAAACATAGCTTTTTAAAACAATAAACATGGCCTAGTGAGTTGAGGAAGGATACAGTCATAGTTGTGTCAGGCGAAAAACTGTCCTTTTGATATGTTTGTTACATTTGATCATGGTAATAAAGTATATGTAGATTTACTGGACATCAAATCCTCAATTTTGAGAAAAATCTTCGCCTGCTTCAGAGCCTCAAAGGAGTATTGTACCACCTTGCAAAATTTCTCTTGGAGGCCCTGGACGTAGGTTAAACATCCCAACCAATTCCAAAGATTTACTTAAAAACTCTTAGCACTCTCAAAATGCAACCAAAAATATGATTTCTGTCTGCAATTGTAGATAATCAAGGGAAGTAACTTTTGTCTGTCTTTCTTTTTTTTTTCTTTTACAGTGCTTTTTCTATGCCAGAACCGACTATTTCCGAGCGCTTTTATCCGATCACTTTGATGAAAGTGATAAAACCGAGGAAATTCCTTTGATAACACTACACGGATTGTCTGCAGTCGTTTTCCAACAGATCGTGTATTACATCTATACAGATAGTTGTGAGGTATTTTCTAACATATAGAATTTTTTCATATTTGTCACAGAGAAATTGAATGTTCTTAAACTAGTCATTTTTTTTACACATAGAATTATGGAAAAGAATTTTCAAAGAATTGATTCTTTTTTTTTTTTTTCTTCCTCTCCTTTTTGACTGGATTCAGTTTTGAAGAAAAAGTTGAACTTTCACCTAAAAGATACTTCACATTAAATGAAAACAAAATATTTTGAGTTTAATCAATAAAAACTGTTGCATTGCATGGTACTATATTTGATGGCATAAATAAACTTCTCACCTTTTTTTTTTTTTTCATGAAATGGCTCAGATATATCTTCCAGTTCTTATATGTGAAACATAAGTGGCTTAATACAGTAAATCTCAGCCATTTGAGAACTACTAGATATAACATTTAAATTCATTTTTACTGTTTAATATGCAAATATTTTATACACATATTAGCAACTAAATAATTAATGGATTTTAGTTTTTAACTGACATATTTTTATGACCTTAAATGTTATCCATAGGGGATAATTTATTAAACTTATTAAAGAAAAGGTGCCCTGTACATAAGTTTTCTCTAGTGTGTAGACCAGTAGAAATATTAAATGCTGTTTGAAATAAACTGAACATCTACTCAAATATGGGTATCCATTAAAAATAAACTTTGAAGAAAAAAAAATGTTGGATTAAAAAATAAAATCCATTGATTCTTTAGAAATTGCTTTGTTTATGTTTTGGATTTGAAACTGAGCAGATATACCATTTAAAGAAAATCTGAAGAAGTGAGTATGCTATAAAGATAAATAGAACATTAAATAGAACATATTCAAATCCTGTTGGAAAGCACATTTTTTTTTAATATGTTTTCTTAAATAAGCAGACAATAGATACTGTTTAAAGTAAACAGTGCCTACTCAAATATAGGTATCCACTAAAAATAACATTTGAAGTAATAAAAATATTAACAACTATATATATATATATATATATATATATATATATATATATACACACAGTATTTACATTAGTCGGACTATTGTCACAATGTTGCCATGTGTGATGGATGTCAGTTATCAGTTATCTCCTGCTAATTTTCCCTCTGAAAGTTCTCCACTGCTTTAACCGGGCATTGAACTCACACTTTTTGGGTCTGTCACTGGATCTAACCAACGCCTTTATCCACTGTGCCATGTGTCCTTGAGTATGAATTTCTGGGTATTATAAACCTAATGTTTTCAGCAACCATTTTTTACCAGTGCTCATATTGCAATTTTGCAGTTATCATTGCATGTTTTTACCAGAGCTCATATTGCAACTTTGTTATCATTGCTTTTCTCTGGCACTCCTTATTACTGGTTCCCATATTGTATTTATTTCTATGCTTGGTCAGCTCAGGAGATTTTTGTGGCCTAGCATATGTGCTGATTCCTTAATACGAATTTTCCAATGGTGTTTCCTGTCTATGATCTCAACATGATCCCACAGGGGGCGGTGATCTCCCTTCTCTCTCCATATGTGGTCAGCCACGCCTGATTTTTCTACTTCCCCTCACGTTACAGCTTTCTGGTGTTCTTGAAGCCTTACCTTGAGGGGCGGCCTGTCTCTCCTTTATATTCCTTTCCGCAGCTGCACGGGATAGCGTAAACACAGTCTTTAGTCATGTTCTCCTCTATGGGGGGTCTCACTCGAGAGAGATATCTGCGAAGTGTTGTCACGCTTTTGAAGGTTGCCCTGATGTTATATGTACCGCAGATCCTTTGTATTTTCTCTGATAACCCCTTCACATAAGACAGGCAGACTGTTTTCTGAGTGTTGTTGTCCTCCTACTCCTACTCCTCCTTGCCTATTCCAGTTTTTGGGGGCTGCTGCCATGTACCCAGAGTAGTTGTTACATTGTAGGGTACTACTTATACTGACCAATTCCTTATCTAACGTCTCTGGGTTGCCACTTATGACTTTTGCTCGGTGTTGTAAGCAACAGACGATCCCTTTCTTTACGCTGTATGAATGGTGGGAGTTGAAATTGAGGTACTGTCCGGTGAATGTTGGTTTATGGTATACGGATGTCTTGAACCAATGCTCTGTTCGAGATATTAGTACATCCAGGAATGGGACACATGGCACAGTGGCTAAAGGCGTTGGTTAGATCCAGTGACAGACCCAAAGAGAGTGAGTTCAATACCCAGTTAAGGCAGCATACAACAGCCAAAACGTTGTGATAAATATGGTGACAAAGATGAGGACAATAGTCCGAATAATGTAAATACTAATAATATACATATATATATATATATATATATATATATATATATATATATATATATATATGTGTGCACAATAATATTTATTTATATATGTAGCTTTCTTTTTTAAGTCTGTTAATTTGTATTAGTTTCAATAATTATAAATTACACCTCCATACCAAATACTTTTAAGTTCTTGACTGATGATTCATTACTGTGTGCTGTGTTGAAAATTGAGACGAGTCACACATTAGTTTTCTTTAGTTCAATATTTAGTTTTATGTTTGGAACTTTTTTTCCCAGAACTCAATTGTAGACTTAATTTGTGGCTCATCTTTAGATCAGATTCTCTTGTAATTCCAACATGTTTATATTTCAATTACAAAACTGCAGTTTAGCCACTTGTTATACAAATAATGTTTACCTGCATACTAGAGTCAAGCTGTTCTTAAATCAAACCTAATTTCATAATATTGTCACATTAAATCTAAATGAGGTTGGAATATGTTGTTAAATACAGTAAGTAGACAAGAGTGAACTATTTTCTGATTTACTTAAAAACAAACATTTTTAATCTAAAATAAAAGCCAAGAATAATAATTTTCAAACAACCACTTTTTATTTACACTAGTTACATTGTTCAGGCAATTGTCCTCAGCTTTATTGCTGTATTCACGATGTTTCAGCCATCATACACTCTGGCTTTCTTCAGGTAATATACATTGGAATTTCGAAATGGGGGTAGATTTTTTGTTCAAAATTCCAGCATATATAACCTGAAGAATTCTGGAGTGTACAAATGCCGAAATGTTCTGAATATGGCAAAAAGATGAGGACAGCAGTTTGAACAATGTAAATAGTTACACTACCAGAAATATAGACAAATTACTTTTTAATATTTATCCCTTTTTGTCAGATTTTATCTATTACTCAAAATCCTCTTTTAAAAGAATTTTTTTCAAAAACTTTTCAGGCAAGATAGTACTGATCTTGAAAACAGTTTTAACTAAAAAATATTAATAATTTCTTTTAAATCTATAACATTTTTATATCATTTACAGTTGATCTAATATCCTCATCTTTTAAAACCCAAACATGCAAAAATGGATTTATACATTTTCTTTATTCTTGAAAATTGACAAAAAAAGATATTAAACTGTATTTATTAGACTGAATAAAAAACATGTTCTCATACTAATTTATAAAATGGCGAATGATAAATATTGTAGTTGGTTTATATATTTTGATAATTTTGAAATTTAAAAAAAATAATATCAATTTCACATTATTTTACACATTGCACATCATTTCTCAAGTTACATTTGCTTTTAAGCCTAAATATTAATTTAAAATTTCATCAATAATGCTTTTTGCTTAATTAAATAATTTGAAGAAAAATGCATATTTTTGCATTTTACCCATACTCAGCAATTCCAATGTTAAATCAAAATCTTTTCTCCTCAGTAAATATCAGCATATATTATCCATGTTAAAAAATATAAATATTTTGAAACTACATTAACACAATATGTTGACATTATTAAAAATGTTATAGTTTTATCTATTACTAATTGTTCTATATTTGTGTGAGTTTGTATACTTGCCGCCGGCTGTATTTGTAGATTGCAGTCTTAGGTTAACCGAAGTCATATGCCACATTTGGTTTAATCCTGTAGTTTATTAGCTACACAGAGAGGAAATTATACTATTAATTTCTTTTGTACTTCTCACCTGTGGAACTCTCTTTGGGCTTCTTACTTTCCAGTTAACTTTGATCTTCAAAAATTTGTTTGAATAATAAAAAAACTTGTTTTCATAGTTATTTATAAAATGGGAATTAATAAATATTGCTTTGTAGTTGGTTTACATATTTTGATAATTTTGGAATTTTTGTAAATTTTTGAATAAAAAGATTTCTTTTCAAATTGATTTCTTCATAAAATGGTAAATAAATCTTGCATTGTAACTGGTTTACATATTTTAATAATTTTGTAATTTTTTTTAAATTTTTTCAATAAAACAATTTCTTTTCAAATTTATTTCTTTATAAAAGGAAAATAGATATTGCATTGTAATTGGTTCATGTATTTTTATAATTATATAAATAAATATTGCTGAGGGAGTCAAAAGTGTGTACATTAATAGCAGTGTCAAGGGAATAACCATCCTTTTGAGACAAATTTTTTTGTGGGCACAAAGATTAATTGCCAATATTTTCTTTTTTTTAATTTTTAAATTCAGCTCACTTGTATGAACGTGTATGAGGTTCTTTGTTCTGCTGACCTTTATTTACTTCCTGGCTTGAAGAGACAATGTGCCGCTTTTGTTGCCAAAAACCTGGAAGTCAACCAAGTTATCAATGTTCTGAGGACCGCTCGTCTCTTCAATTTGTACCGGTTACAGGACCAATGTGCTGAATTCATTGCTGCTAATCTATACAAAGTAAGCATAAATGTTTTTTTTTTTTTTTTTAAGATTATTGATCATTTTCATTTAAGTCATAGATACATTATATAAAATGCTGTATTTCCCACCATATAAATCTGTCTCTATAAATAGGCAATAGATGATTACAAAGGATGTGCCAGTCAAGTTCATGGCACATGCTTTCACACAAATAGGTAGATTTCTATCTTTTCTTCCCCTCCAAGCCTATATGTTAAATAGCAGGGTATACTAGGCTCTCTAACAGTGATTGACAACCAGTCTAGAAGGACAATTCTGAATTCAAAATCCAGCCACAAAGATTAGACATTGTTAGAATCAGAGGGCAGATAGTATGTCTATAAAATGAAACATTTAACAGTTATGAATGATCCCAATGTTCTAGGCCCAAGGAAAGAAGAAAACTTGAGAATGAATGAACTTGATAAAGAACTTTTTTGCCTTTCATCAGCATGGCTGATGCTAACCTCCAGGAAAGTGACTCCTTGAATTTTTGCATGCTTTTGTGATGTCAACGAATACTCAGTTTACATTATTGTCCTCATCTTTATTTATTACAATGTTTCGGCTGTTGTCGAATTAACAAGAGATAACTGATATCCATTGTGTGGAACTAGAACAGTCTACTCCAGTGAGAGAAATAAAGGGTTCAGTTTGACATTCCAACCACCTGAAGAAGGCCGGAGCATACAACGGCTGAAACATTGTAATAAATATAGCTACAAAGATGAGTACAATAGTCTGAAGAAATGTAAATAGTGTACATAATACCTCATCTCAGAAATATAGACAGATACCAACGATTACTCATTGCTATTTTTGTAATGTCAATGAACACTCGTTGTCAATTTCATAATACTTGTTGTAGTAGACACTTTATAATTGCAGTTACAACTATAGTAACACCATTGAACAATGCTGGTGTCAGACACCTTTGAATAATCTCGCACTAATAGTACTTGCTCGATAATACTCACTCGAATAGTAATCCATATGGTGATCTGAATAGAGAAATAGTATTGTGAATAGAGTGGAGATTAGTGGTCTATATAGTAATAGAGGATAGAGCAGAAATGGTGGTCCAAATAGTAATGGAGGATAGACTAGAAATAACGATCAATTTAGAGGGTCATGTGACTTCCTATATATATGTTTTACTCTATGGTCGCATGAGCCACTTAATTCAATAATGGGATTGCCTGTGATTGCTCACTGGCGATCTATGTTCCGACTTGAGTGTCGGCAGCAACACTTTATTCCTATATAACACAGGCTAATGTTTTTCCACTGACTTGATATGGAAAGATTATATTGAATCTATTGCTAGGTCTGCTGTTGGTTCACTGTGTCGTGCTAGACAATTTTTCTTACTAGAATCTATCTTACATATTTATAAGTCTACCATTCATCCATACTTTGAATATTGCCATTACATATAGTCTGGTGCTCCTGCTATATATTTAGAGATTCTTGATAAAATCCAAAGAAGAATGAACAATATTATTGATCTTAATGTCTCAGCTTCAGTCACTTTCCCACTGCTATAATATAACTTCCCTGTGCATTTTCTATAAGTATTGCCATGATAATCATTTTGATGAGCTTTTCTCTAGTCTTTATAAATTTAAGAGTGGTAGCAAAAGCTTATAGCTCATTTTATAGTTGAAATGACTAGATGTAACCATAAGTTCTATGCTAACAGTTTCTTTCCTTGCACTTCTCACTTGTGGAACTCTCTTGCTTTCCAACCAACTTTGATCTTCAAAAATTTAAATACAACATCAGTTGATATCTTCTCTCTTCTTAATTTCTGTTCTTTTATTGTTTTATACATATGAAAGTGAATTTATACATTTTCTTTGTTCTTGAGAATTAACAAAAATAATAAACATTATTTATTTATTAGATTGTTTATTGGAATGGTTGGCAAAACATCAGCTAATTGTCAACTGATTCAAACTTTATAAAATGGTAAATAATAAGGATTTCGTTATAGTTAATTCACATAGTTTAATAATTTAGTAAATGTTTATAAATTTATGAATAAAAAATTGTTTTCATATTTGTTTATAAATTGGTAAATGATAAATATTGCATTGCATTAGTTTTAATATTATTAGTTTTCGAAATTTAAATATAAAATTTCTTGTAAACACACAGTCTAATAGTGTTCAATATTTTTGTTGTAAATTCTCAAGAACAAAGAAAATATATAAATTCACTTTTGATACACCATTTTTTGTGGGCATGAATGTTAAAGATTGCCAAATTTTTAATGGCTAATCACATGTTTTAGGTTGAGCAAATATATTTTCATCTTTTAATCAACTCTTTATTGTACAATTACATATAAAACTGTACATATCTCCCTTTTTATGATCTTAATACTTATGAAAGTTTTCAAGCACTACTGGTTGGATTATCCTTTGTCTTTCTTTTTACAACATCATAGTTAACATCTGACAGCCATATATTTGTGGGCTTTATTTCAAGGAACAAATTGTCATTCTTAAAATCTTATCAGCCCATTTTTGTGACAGTAGATATTAATAAGTAGAAACCTGGAATTAATCCTGGACTTATATGAACCTGGAATTAATATTGGATTTTATTTTAATTTTTATAATTAACATCGGATTTTACAGTGGGCATTTATGGGTTAAAACAATATATTGTAAAGTCATGTATCATCTTTAGATATATATATGAAATTAATTATTATTAATTTTGGTTTAAAGATCAGTACAAACGGAAGTACTTTTGAAAATATCTAATATCTTCTGAAAGAGAGACATTGAGGCTTTTAAATACACATCTTGAAATCCAGAAATGGCTTAAACTTGTGTTCTTTTTTTTTATTTTCATTTTTTTTTTTTTTTTTTCAGGTGATTCAACTTGAAGAATTTACTGAATTAGTCATGGAAGATGCAACCAATGTGAAGGAACGTCAGGATACAGACAGCATTGAAATTATTGACAATGTGCGATATTACCTGACCAACTTTATGCAGACATTCAGTGAAATGCAAGAAGTCAGTGAAAAACTACAACTAATTGATAATCTTTTAGAAGAGTTGAATCTAGAGGGTTGAGAATTACAGTACAGATTGATGGCCAACTTTGTAAGACGCTTCCATATCTAAGTTATCTCCCTTACTTCTTTATACGAACACAATGTTTATATACAGAAATCTTTTTTTCTCGTTTTTGATAAATTTTTAGGGGTTTTATTTTTTTATTTTAATAAGACTAGTCTTTAATTTCCATTTTCATTTAATAAGAAAAGAACAAAGATCTGGAACAAATTTTTATGTTTTTTGTTTCTTTTTTTAGGAAATTTTAAAAATTATTATTTTATTCCTAACAAAAACATTTTCGATTATTTATTACTAATTATTCTTCAGTCAAAACTGAATTAGATTTGTGAATGTGTTTGCTAAAAAAGCTTTAAAAATTTCCTAAATATTGGTTTTAAAGCAACACTGGAAGTGGAGGATTTTAAAACCCTCTGCTCTTGTAATGACTGTTAAAATGCTCAAATCTATGTGAACCCAATACTCATATCAATTGTGTTGTCAAGGAACTAAAATTTTATGGCAAAATGCAATATCCATTTAGATTTTAATGTTAAAGTATCTCTTTTGAAGCAGCTTTCTTCATTTCTAATTGAAAATTATTTAAAAGTAATTTTTAAGTAATGTCAACATTATGTAATGGCTATTCTTATTATGTAAATCATTTTATCAATGAGATAATAAATGAATGCTTATATGAGTAACACTTCTATTGGATGTGTTTTTGGTGGATGAGATGAATTGGCAAGGGGAAAGATTTTCAGAGAGAGGATAGTGCGAGATAATCTACTGATGGAAATTTTATTTGTGGTAATGGAAGATATATATCTTAGGATTGATAATAGTGTACAATAAATTTTATCAAAAGGTGTTTATAAGCAGAAAATAAGATATAAAGCTGAAATAGGAATTGCACAAGTTATGGTAGTTCAACATTAGTTTTGTCCAAAATATTGCATAATTTAATGTCGTAAATAAATTTAGCAGGTTTATTTTGTTAATATACAAAAGAATTAGTTTTTGTAAATCTTTAAAATGGTCAAACTTACATTCATTTTTCATTTCTCATTGGGATATATATATATATGATAAAATGATTGATATGAAATATCCAAAGAATATATATAAGAGGTAATATGTCAAAACCAGTTGGAATGATTAAATTGTTTTATTTTGTCAACATTTCGCTCCATATAAACATCATCAGAACCACTGCAAAAATAAAATTAACATCCAACTAGTTTTTACTAAATACCTCTTGTGTGTGTGTGTATATATATATATATATATATATATATATATATATATATATATATATATATGTTTGTGTGTGTAAAGGGACAGAATTTTGACAAAGTGGAAAATGTTTTGTGTGACATATTTCGTCCTTTTAGGACTTCATCAGACTAATTTTATGTTTACATGGATGCAACTGCATATAAACTTAGTGCAGTGAAGTCTTAAAAGACTAAACATCACAAGAAAATTTTAGGCTAATGAAATAATAATATATATGCAAGCTAATGAAATTTTATTTGTATGTTAATAGGCCTTTAGTACCAAATAAAAGCACGATGAGAAAATGTTAAAAATTGGAGGTTTTGGCCTGTCTCAAGAAGAAATAAAACAAAGTTGAACATTTCGCGATATTTTCTTTTCTATCAGTATGTGTTAGCTGATAAAATCTATTAGTTTTGGGCTAGTTGTTTTCCACATTTAGGTTTGTAGACAGTTTATAGATGTTTTCTATTTGGTCTAAAGGCCTAATAATATACAATAAATATTCTTATCATTGTTATTATTATTGTTGTTGTCTTTTATCTTATAAATTTCTTTCATCGACCTACTATATCTACATATTATAAGTAGCATATGTGGACAATTGTTTTTTAATATATATATATAGGCAGCATATCTTGATTCAAGTATGTTTTATTAAATAATATAAACATATTATGACTATTTTTATAATAATACTCTCTAGGTCTCTAATTATCCTCTTGATTAACATCAAGAGGATAATTAGAAAATCATCAAGGAAGGCGATGTATTTTTTGTTAACCCAGGTACTTTTGATCTCCTCCAAGGTCATCTTCAAGGGTGAATTGCGAAGGCAAACTTAATGTAACTGTAATCGTTGTGATGGTGTTTTTTTGTTTTTTTTTTGTAAACACCATGTTACATTTTATCATTTCTGGTTACTTCCCTTGCATTATGAACACTTGTTTACAAAACATTGTAACCACAATGGTTAATTTCAAAATAATTATAACAGTGTGTTTACACATGTTTACAAAAAATCACCATCACACCAATTACAGTTACATTAAGTTTTTCACAATTCACTACTGAGGATGATCTTGGAGAAGATCAAAAGTATTTGGGTTATCAAAAAATACATCGCATTCTTTGATGAATTTCAACTTAATTAGATTATTATAAAAATAGACATAATATATCTATATTATTTAATGAAACACACACACATACATACATACATATATATATTCAGACAGGTTTGGTTAAATAATTTAGACATACATGTCAATTAGTTTTTGTTATGATCCTTTCAAGTTCATGGATTAATTTTTTGGTAGATTTAGAAAATTGAGTAACAAAAATACCAAAATTTTCTTTGAATAGTTTTTATTTTCCCAAGTACTTTCAATCTCATCTAAGACCATCTACCATCTTCAGGGGGGTTAAGTTGTCTGTGAGTATGTATATGTGTTTCTGTAAATTTAAAACATTTCAATTGTTTGTTTTTTTTCTGCTTAAGCAGCGTTCTAGATTTCAAAGTTCATGTGTTCTTTTGGGTTTTTTTCTAGTATAAGGATATAACTTTTTGTTTTTGCTCAGACATATATATTTTTTTTTTCATGAGTATTTAAGGACTTTGTTGCTATACTAATAGTTGACTTTATAAAAAAAAGAATCACAACAAAAACTAATCAACATATGTCTAAATTATTTAACCAAACCTGATTGAATGAAAAATATGCTGCCTAAATATACACTATATATATATATATATATATATATATATATATCAATCATACAAACTAGAGGCTCTTTATTTTGGTAATTAGTTGATATGTAAATTCAGGATCAGAGGCAAAAAAAATGTGACACTGTTGCTGTTATTATTATTATTTGATTTTATTTATTTATTTTTTGTAAAATTGCATTTTTAATTTAAATAATCCAGTCTTTTTATTGGAGCAATGTAAAAAGAAAATGTCATAAACTTTTATTTAAACTTAAATCAATAAATTTTATCATAAAATCTCGTCCCTACCCCTGCTACATATCTCCCACTACCCTAACTAAGACTTCCTGGTTGTACATTATTTCTTGCTGGCTTTCCTTAACAATTAATGTAATTGGTTTTTGTTTGTTTTAGTTATCATCCAACTTTTGTTGTTTCTGGCATGTTCTATTTAAAATTATCATTATAAGCTTTACAAAAGAACACTGTGCATGAGGATTGTTAGAAAAACTTGTGCACAGCTGAAACCTGATTCTTGTAAACTTAAGAAATGGTAAATTATAGGAAAGTAAGACATTCTAAAATTTACAACTTGTACCCAAATTATGAGGGTCATTCAAAAAGTTCTAAGAAGGAGTTGGAGAAACAAGACACTTTTCCCTGTTTTTCAATATGGCTCCAAGCCCCCTTCAATGCACTTGGTCCAACGATGCTTAAGCATCGCAATCCCATCAGGGAAGAAGGTTACGCCCTGGTCCTCCAAAAACTACTCGACTGCACATATGATCTCATTGTTGTTTCCAAGATAGCATCCACACAAGTGGGACTTGAGTTTAGGGAACAGGAAGAAGTTAGATGGAGCTAAGTCTTGTGTGTAAGTAGCAATTCAAAGACATGTTTCCTTGAATAATTTAGACAAGTTTTATCTACTTATTTTCAATAGGATCTTCTTATATTCACAGAAAAACTATCCTTATTAAAAGAAGAGAGAAAATTGCCACGTTGACATATATATATACGAGGGTCATTCAAAAGTTCTAAACCTCACCAGAAGGAGTTGGAGAAACAAGACTGTTTGTCTCTGTTTTTCAATATAGTACCGCTTGACATCAATGCACTTGGTCCAATGATGCTTAAACATTGCAATCACATCACGGTAGAAGGTGGCATCTTGGTCTTCCAAAAACTCCTCTACAGCACATATGATCTCATCATTGTTTCCAAAATGGGGGCCATGCAGGTTGGATTTGGGTTTTGGAAACAGAATGAAGTTAGATTGAGCTAAGTCTTGTGTGTAAGGGGGATAAAGTGGCAATTCAAAGCCAGAGTTAGCTGCTTCAGCTACTGCAACCTGAGCAGTGTAAATGAGTGCATTATCCTGGATCAAGAGCACACCTTCCCTCAGCATTTTGACTTGATTGCTTCCTTCAGTCATCTTTATTTCTGATGCATCATGTAATGTCCATTCATATCTTTTCCATTTTCCAGGTAGTCTATCATGATTATGCATTCAGAATTAAAAAAAAAAACAGAAACCATCACCTTGCCAACAGATGCTGTCTGCTTGATCTTCGTCAGTGTGGAGAACCAGTGTTTCTACTGTTTGCTTTTTTGATCCAGTTTTGAAGTGGTGAACCCAGGTTTCATTTTCATTTACTAATCTGCAGTGAAAATTCTTAGGGTCAGCCTAGAAGTGAGTCAGAATCCTGGAAATGTCAGCCCTTTTCAGTTTATGCTCTGGTGTCAATATTCTTGGGACTCATCTTGCAAACAGCTTGCTCATCCACAAGATCTCAGTTAAAACAGTATGTACTGAACCGGAGCTAATGGAGTTAGCTATCTGTTGAACAGTAAGATGTCTGTCATACAAGACCATATGGTGAATGGCATCAACTTGTTCATCAGGGGTTGAGGTTTTTGGATGACCTTACTGAGGATCACCTTCTGTGCTGTTGTCCCTGCTCTGCTTGAATTCCACAGCCCACTTCTTCACAGTTTCATAAAAAGGGGACTCCTCAGCAAGTGTCTG